AGATTGTGATATAATGGCGCAGTTTTAGAGGAATAAGGGGGAATATCCAAAGCCGACTTAAATTCTTGACTCAAAGGAGGACTTGTTGCCAGTCTGTAGCTGTGGAACAGAAAAGCATATCACAGAAAAGTGAATCACCTTAGATTTTGTTTCCTTTAAGTCAAATCATAATACTTTATTAATCGCAGAGGAAATGGCAGCAAACTATTAAGAAACAGTGTTGTCAAACATATGACTCACTGGCCAATCTGATCCAGTGGATGGCTTAGCAAAGTATACAGACTGGGAGCAGGAGGGCATCATTTTTAGCTTTTCACAGTATATTGCACCAGGGAGCATTGTCTTAAAAATCATTATAATAAGTTTGCATATTGAGTTCATGTCAACTAGATGTTCGTCATCCATTTTACATCATATCTGCCAAATACATTAACCATTGCCAGCCATATTGAGGAACAATAATTAATCCAAACACAGAAACAAGGAAAACTCAAACTTAACGATGTGCTTCAATAACTGTGAACATTTTCTATATATGATAGGGCTTTTTTACACTGACGTTTTTTTCTGTAATGTTTTACATACTTAAAATTAAAATAGGCTATATGTGACACATAATTGAAAATCTGTTTGACGTCACATAAATTCAAATGAAATAAAATTTGTTATTATTAAAAAAAGCGCATTTCTGTCACTAAAAAAATGTATCCGTAACACAAAATTTAGAGTTATTTTATCGAAATTTAGAATAAAAGTAGCTCGAAATTTTGACTTCCTTTTATCAAAATTTGGAGTTATTAACTCCAAATTTTGAGAAAAGTAAGTCAAAATTTTGAGCTAGCACTGCCAATCAGTAATCTATGTGAATTACGTCATTTCTTTGTTACCCAGAAGCTGAAGCCCTCAGCTACAAATGCTACAGCTAAGCTACCACTATTACAGTCAGTCCTGAATGCACAAATTGCTGATTATTTTCAGTGTGGCTTCACAAATTATGAAATCCTTGTGTTATTAGCTGAATCACATGGTGTTACTATCAGCAAACATACTCTCGAAAGCGCCGATTTGTTGCGATCCAGTTTTGAGTGCGCATTCCACGTAGATTACTGATTGGCAGAGCTAACTCGAAATTTCGAGTTACATTTCTCAAAATTTCGAGTTTCGGAAACGGGCTTCCATAAATATTCCCTGACATACTCACCCATAGAATTTACAGTTGATCGAATGGTGTAAGAAGGTGTAGCGGTCTTGTTTTGACTTTTTCATGGCAAAGGTGGAATCTCTTGAGTGAGAACCTCCAAAGCCAACCCCAACCTTTGCTGAAGGATCTACTGGGACATCAAGGCCAATTGTCCAGTTGTTGGATACAGATGATGTCGAGTCACTGACAAGAGTTTCAACAGAATCATAGACCACACTGGAGACCTTCAAACTGCACTTGGGCAGGGTTCTCCAGTCCACCACAGCAACAGGGACCTTCTGTTTCTCGCCATTCATGTAACGGTTACGGTACATCCTACAGTTACCATTTCCAATCTTCCATGTTTCAGTGTCGATCACATAGGCACCTTTTCTCTCCATCGTCACAATGTCAAAGCCTTCACCACCCAAGTTGTAACCAGGGACAAAGTGAGCCTTTTCACACTCCTGTGGTGTACCAATGAAGCTCACACTGGAAGGAAGGCACAAGGGACTCCATGCCCAACACAGGAGCAGGACGTGCCACAGCTTTGCCATCTGAATGGAACAAGGAGAAGAGATTAAATGATGATTAAACTTTAAATATTAAAAAATGACCAATATAATAGAGTATTTTTCAAATGTTCACTTCACCCCCAAATAATTTGTCATTTCTCAGTGGAGATGGATGTGAAACCAGAAATCACACAGTTAAACTTTTGTGTCTATGTAGTGGTATGAGTATGAGTGGTCAACCTATATCCTGCCTCAGTACCTACCTCACTCTACCCTGGCAGCTTTTTAAATTAAACCAAACAGTGGTAAAGTTGTGTTTACTGTGATTTTCTATTGTACCTGTGCATACTAAAGTGAAGTACCAGTTCTTATTTAGCACAGTAAAGATACAAAAAGAGATGAAGAGAAATGTTAAAGTAGACCACTGCAAAACAATGTAATATAAAAGGAAAAAAAGACAAAAATTGTTTGCTTTTCTTAATCTGGTGAGAAGTTGAGTACACTTTGAAAACATTTAGACAGACTTTACTGTCCTAAAAAAATTCCAGAAAACAAATGCTGCTAAGATATCTTTAAAAAAAAATCTAATTTCTCCACGTTCATAAAGTGTGGGCATGCAAACAACAATTTATAGATAAAAGGCTATTAAACTTGTTAACCCTGCATGTAATCATTCTTAAAGAAACAAAGGACTTGGTGGTCTTACTTTGACAGTTGACCGCAGGCTTTGGTTAGTACAGTCTATGATCTGATCTAGACTGTTGTACAGATGAAGACGTTGAGTTTTTATACTGAACATATAAAAAGTCAATGTCATATGCGCACCAGTTTTACTTCCTTCACACATATTTCATGTGTGTGGAAACTATTGCTCTTTACACATTATTGAAATAAAACCAAGGTTAAGTACACCCATTGTGAAATCCTCCTTACCAGCAATATCTTGCAGTTATGCAGATATTGCAGCACTCAACAGCATTTCAGTCCCCTGAGTTCTGAACTGGGCCTTGATTCTTTTTTTTCAGCCAAACTGTGCTTTGGATTATTGTCCTGCTGCAAGACCAAGTTTCGGTGGATTTAGGTGTCAGACTAACTTTGGTATACAAAAAAGTTCATGGTCGATTCAGTGATTGCAAGAATGATTGTGCAGAATGCTGTGGATGCAAAACAAGCACAAAACAACACCCAAACAAATTTGCTAGAACATCCACTCCTAGGAAGATTGTGACATTGTGTTAATATACACCTGAATGCTGCAGACCAGCCCAAACTGCCAAATCCTCTGCTTCTATACACGTGGCCAGACATGCTGATAATCAGTTAATCAAGTGCACTGGATTATCAGCACCTGGCCGTTACTTACCTTGCATTCCTATGGAAGTAGTAAGGGTGTCGTTTTTGACCGGCCTGCAGAGTCCCATGACAGCTTTGCTTTTGTCAGCAAAATTATATAATAATTTCTTACAAACTATTTTAAGAATATATTATATAAAATTTATTATATAGAATTACAAATTTTAGATAATAAAATCTTACTAAGAAGAAACATTTATTTATTAAATGTGCAACAATAACAAGGCACAATCAAAACGCCACTTCTTCATCTGTACTAGAATCTAGGTCTAGTCAGTTATGGGGCAACAATAATTAGCAGAAAATTTTTTAGCCAAAATATGAGAACTTGAAGAAGGTGATAGCAGTTAGAAGAAGACAATACTATGGACCAGACCTCATACCACAGGCTATACCCAGGGGAAGCTACACCAAGTCTATATGGTTTACCGAAGATACATAAACAGGGTGTACCTTTAAGACAAATTGTCTTCGTGATCAACTTGGTCACCCAAGTTTCTGTCTTGGATCTTCAACCTGCTGGCAGGCAGCTCTAAACACCACAACCAGAACACCTTGGATTTTGTTGAGAAGGGAAGTGATATCATTATGGAGGCAGATGAAATATTGGTCTTGTATGATGTTACATGTCTGTTCACTTGTGTTCCAGTCACTGAAGCAGTGGAGGTAGTTTGTAAGAGATTACAGAAACACGACCACCTTCAGCACCAACCAAGTGTGTTTGCTCTTGGAACTGTGTCCGAATCCCTCCAATGTCACATACAAGGGTCAGTACTACAGGCAGAAACATGGGTGTGCCATGGGTTCCTCGGTTTCACCTATTGTGGCCAACTTGTACATGGAAGAAGTGGAAAAGAGGGCTTTGTTATCCTACCCTGGAACACCATCAAGTCATTGGTTCAGGTATGTGGATGACACCTGGGTAAAAAATCAAATCTCAGGACGTACTGCAATTCACAGATAACATTAATTCGGTGGACCAACACATCAACTTCACTAGGAAGGATATGAAAAATGACATGTTAGCCTTCTTAGACTCTGAGATTTCTATCAGTAATGGGGGACATGTAAGAGTTTATGTGTACCGTAAACCAACATATTCAGAACAGTATTTAAGGTTTGACTCTCATCATCCACTGGAGCACAAACTGGGTGTCATCAGGACGCTACAACACAGAGCGAACACCCTCCAGTCTATTGTGCAGTCTATTCACACCTATTCCAACGTAACTCCACCCCACTGCACAAAGCAAGTTCCATAAAAACATGGATGAGCATGTTTGGTGTGGAAGAACTTGACGGGCCTACGCAGAATCCTGACCTCAATCTCATAGGACACCTTTGGGATGAAATAGAGTAAGCCAGGTCTTCTTGCCTGAATATAAGAGCTGATGCTGTTATATTAGCAAAGTGTGGGTCAACACCATATTACACCCTATGGATTAAGATTGGAATGTTACTTAAGGTTATTTGTGTATGACTACAGACAAGTGAATACTACTGGGCACTGCCTAACTGTGCTTAATTTAATTCTCCCCAGACTTCAGGCCAAGGTGGGGGAATAGAAACTGTTTTTTGGAGTATATACGACTGTAAGCAGCTTTCTCCCTCATTTTCCTCCAGTGTTGAATTGACCTTATTTGAGCAGGACTGCTCTAACCCAGT